ACACTTCACTGAAGAGGATATTCAGGTGGCCAACAAACATGTAGAAATGCTCACAATCATTAGTCATTTGAGAGATGCAAATCAAAACAACAAGATGCCACTTTGCCCCAGCACTAGTAGCAAAGCTCCACAAGACAGAAAATAACAAATGCTGGTGAGGATGAGGAGAGGTTGGGACTGTCATAAACTGCTGGTGAGACTGTAAAATGATACAACCACTGTGGAAAACAGTATGGTGATTCCTTAAATAGTTGGAATTAGAAATACCATTTTACCCATCACTTCCATTACTGGGTATATATCCTAAAGAAGAGAGAGCCAGGGCAAGAACTGATACATGCACATCTATGTTCACTACAGCACTATGTACAATAGCCAAAAGATGGAGGCAACCTAGGTACCCATCAAAAGAAGAATGGATAACTAAACTATGGTACATAAACACAATGGAATACTATGCAACCCTAAAGAATAATGTACAATCTGCAAAACACAGCATAACATGGATGAACTTGGAGGACGTTCAACCAACCAAACACTACTGTCAAGTCATATGTGACTCATAGCGACCTCTCCTTGGGTTTCTGAGATTGTAACACTACAGAAGTAGATTGCCCAACCTTCCTTCTGAGGAGTGGCTGGTGGGTTTCGAACTACCAGCCTTCTAGTTAGCAGTCAAATGCCTTAAGCACTATGCCACCAGAGCTCCTTGGAGGACATTATGCTGAGTGAAATAAGTCAATCACAGAAGGACAAATACTGTACCAGTCCATTTTGTAAAACATCAAGGAAAGGTTTATATATAGAAGGAAATTTTCTCTGCTGGTTACCAGGAGTGGGAGGGGAGGGAACACTGTTAGGTAGAAACAAGTATTGATTTGGGTGAAGAGAAGGGCAATGTACCAAATGTGAGTTATCAACCCGGTGGCACTGAGGAAGAGGAAGACACAGAGAGGTATGTAGGACACACAGACAGCAAAGGTGAATCCTTTGGCACATACAGTGCTGTGTTATCAGTGAAGGCAAACATTGATATACAGGTGGACAGGCTGACTTATTAGGTATGTCCATGAGGGGGGAGTGTGCCCAAGACCATGTATAGGGTTGGTAGACAATGTTTCTACAAGTATATTTTATGTTCTGTAAGAATTCCCAAGTATACAGTAGAGTTGACAAAGGGCAAGGTTGTAGCTACTTCTTGGCCACAGCCAGCTACCCAGAAGGAATGAGTAGTTGGACCTATGGGCTCAGGACCATAGTCACAGGGGACATCAAGCTCAATTTGCATAACATACTACAGAAAAACACTGTTCCACAACCTACTCCAGCAAGTAGTGACTGGGATCTTAAAAGCTTGCCCCGTAGCCATCTAGATGCAACAATGCCTCTCCTCTTCCAGAGCAAAGAAGAACGAAGAAAACCAAAGATACATGGAAACAATGATTCCAAGGGACTGGTACCTATGTGATCCTCAGCCTATATAACTATGAGACCGGAAGAACTAGATGGTACCTGGCTACCACTGTCAACCACTCAGGGAGGCATCTATGTAGGAGAGCCTGGATAGAGAGGGAGAATAATGTGGAACAAAACTCAACAAAACTCAAAATCATTAAAAAAAAAAAAGGGGGACCAGGTTTGCTGGTCTGATAGAGCCTGGAGGAACACCTGAAACTATGGCCCTTAGCTGCCCTTCAGCTCCGGAATTGAACCCACTCTTGTGGCTTCCAGCCAAACAAAAGACAGGCATATGAGCTGAACATTTACATTAGGTAGATACACTCCTGGAGAGATCAACAATGGGAAAATAGAAGGGCTGTGTATGCACAGGCAGACAGCTCAGGGGGCAGGAGTGAATGGGAGGGAAGGACACAGGGAAGAACTAACTACAAGGAGGAAGTGGGAGGAGAAATGTACTGTGGGAGATTACAGTCAGTGTCTTGAGACAAAGTGTACGTGAACTGCTGTATAGAAGATGAATTTGCTCCTAACTTTCACCCAAATCACACACACACAAAAAAAGATTTACAGCTTTGGAAAATATACAGGACAATTCTACTCTGTCCTACAAGGTCACTATGACTCAGAATCAATTCAAAGGCAATGGGTTTGGGGTATCTACTGGGATACAGTGTGAGGTGGTGTTCTGGTTATCTAGTGCCACTCTGACAGGAATATACCACAAATGGGATGGCCTTAACAAACAAGAGTTAATTCTCACAATTCGGAGGCTTTAAGTCCAAGTTCAAAGTGCCAGTATCTAGGGGCTGGGAGAAAGCCCCTCAACCTTGGGGTCCAGCTCTGCCTCCTGCTCCCAGCCCACTGGAGCTAGAGGCGTTTCTTCACTCAGACAGCTGCTGGCTGCTGGGGCTGAGAAACCCCAAGGTTGACAAGTAAAAAGGCACAGTCCCGATACTACCAAACCACACGGCAGGCCATTAACTTAAGTCCATTTAAGTCCCACGGTCGGCAAGGCATAGCAGTCTGCTGAGCAACGACACGGCTATGCAGGGTCCAAGGCTGCCATAAGTTAGAGACCATTCCTCCCAAGGCTTCTCTTTCTATACAGGAAGCAGACCACATCGCAGAGGCAGCTACTCAGCTGCCTGTGGTAGATCCCACCATGGAGATGATTGCCAGTCTCATCATGGGGAATAACTACCACCAGCTGCCCAGACTCAAGCAGGCCCAGACAAGTTGACACACAAACATAATTACCACAGGTGGAAAAAACAAAAAAAAATTAGAAATGTTTTAAGTAACTACATTTTTGGTGGTAGTATCAGTTCCAAGACAGTTTTGTATATGTGTATGTGAGCTGTAGGATAGCAAATAAATAAATATGCTTATCTTAGAAACCAAGATTTTTAATGTATAATATAGTTTTAAATCAAAGTAAAAGCCTGTTAAGCATAAATGTGAGTTGGAAATATCATTGTAAATGTAGGGGTTTTAAGAAGGCATGGAAAAAGAAAGCAGAGAACTAGAGACACGGATTAAGGGAAGAAGAGAGTATTTTAGGACTTCTCTAATAGTAGCAAGGAAAAAATAGTAAAATGTTGAGAGTGAAGCAAGCAAAGGCCAATGTTCAGAAATATTTTTGCATAATCTCTTTAAAACTTCAGTGTACCTTAGGTCTAAATGATTGCCTTAAAGATTATTTTGCCTTCAAATTTAAATAATCTTTCAGATAAAGTTTCAGGTTTTTGATCTCTTACTGTACCGTTATACAAGTCAGAATAAAATACACTGAATACACCTGGACTTGGTATATAAATCTGTTACACTCCACTGCTGATGGTTAATAGTTTGGAGAGAGAACCATCAACTCCCACATTATTAACCCTCAAGCTATTATCATAGTGTTAAGATCGTAAGGGTTGATCTATTTGTAGATTTTATAAAGTTTAGTAATTCTTCAGAAGGACAAATTACCTGGGCCATATGAAAAGTAAAATAAATAAATAAAGTGGTGGCCAGCACTTACTAAATGCTAAATAATTGACATACATTATCATATGTAAATCAATTACTCTATGAGGTATCATTTACTAACACACTCATTTTATAAAAAAACAAACTATGTCTTGAAGAAATTAAGTCACACAAAAGCACAAAGCTCGTGAATTACAGTTAGGATTAAATCTTAAATCTCTATGACCCCAGCAGTTATCTTTAGGATTGCCTGGGCAAGGTTGAGATTTGGTACATGCAAACTCTCTGACATTACAGAACTGCAAACCAAACCAAAGTAACAAATAAAACCACTTTGAATAATAAAATACCTTAGCAATACAGGTCCTGCAAGCATTTTTTCTGTTTGCAAAATATACTAAAGAAATCATTAGGGTTCTAAGAGGTTGTGATGGAGCTCTGGTGGTTCAGTAGTTAAAGCACTGGGCTGCTAACCAAAAGGTTGGTGGTTCAAACCCATCCGCTGCTCTGCAGGACAAAGATGAGGCAGTCTGCTTCCATAAATATCTGTAGCCTTGGAAACGCCATGGGCAGTTCTACACTATCCTATTAGGTTTGCTATGAGACAGAATCAACTTGATGGCAGTGGGTCTGGTTTTGGGCAAAAGGTTGTGAATATTCCAAGCTAAATATTGTCCTCTAACTTAAGTTTTAAGGGAACACACATACTCAAGAGTAAAATTAACCGAATTGTATTGACTCTGAATAATTTGTCTTTGACTACTCCAAGGGTATACAGATCATAACAAACATAAGAACTTCCATAAATAGCCAAACTGGTTTAACAACCTTCATAATTAAGGTAAAAGAGAACATAAAGTACTTAATGTAAGTACTTTAATACATTGTATTTAATACATATGTACATAAAGTACTTAATGTAAGTAAGGTCACTGCCCACCCACTGCTGTCAAGTTGATTCCTCATTGTGACCCTATAAGACAGAGAATAAATGCCCCATAGGGTTTCCAAGACTAAATTTTTACAGAAGCAGACAACCTTATCTTTCTCCCACAGGGTGGCTAGTGGGTTTGAACCACCATCCACTCTGTTAGGAGCTGAGAGCCTTAACCACTGCACCACCAGGGCTCCTTTAAGGTCACTGCAAATAACTTGAAGTGGAGAAATTAGATTCCTATGTATATGCAAAATAAGTTACAGAGTAAGATTCATCAGCTTAAAATAATAAAAGCAACATAAAGTTAGAGTTACCACTCTGTACATGCCAATCCAGAAGGATGTCGGTACCTTGGCACTTATAAGTAAAAACTGGCAAGATATGTGTGATATTCATGAATTTAACAGCCCTTTTCTATTTTTTCAAATGATAATGGTGATGATGACCACAGTCCATCTTCAATAGTCAGTATTTCATAAAGATTCCCAAATAGGGATGTGAGTATGGTCTGAATTTGTATGAAAACTTGCTCTTAAATTTAAGTCAGAAAGTGAATTGTATGTTCATATTGTAAACAAGTTTATTATTAAAGCAGATAAATCCAATAGTAAAAAAAAAAAAAACATACCTCAATTTCATGCTGTCTCTTTTTCTCCTCAAATTGTAATCGTTTCTGTAACTCTTCCAAAGCAGCTCTGTATATTGCATCTTGAGCATTCTGAAGTTCAATAATTTGATCAAACACAGCTCTAAGTTGATTTAAAAGTGCCTGAAGAGATAAGACAATGTATTTCTTTATATGAAAAGAACTTCAACACATTTCCTAAGTTTTTAAATAAAATATTTTAGAATTATCAACACATTATTTAAAAAGCATTCCCCTATACACGCAACAACATAAAAACAACATGAACTAAAATAATGTGGATCATTTGTAGGGGAAGTTTAGAATGATCACAGGTATTAAAGCCTGGATCCAAATTATGGCATCAGAAAGCAGTAAGAGTTTCTGTGCATGATACCATGTAATACCCTGAAATAATGTTTATATTACTGAAAAATTACCTACATGGGATGTAATTAAAATTCTCTGCAATGAAGCAGCTATTTAATCAGCAATGTTGCTTTCACTTATAGAGGTGAGATTCTTCTGATGAGATAAAATTATTCTTAAAGAGTTTTAGTGTCATATTATAATTCACTGGCTTTCAGGAATTCCATGTTTTTTACAAATTCCTCTTGCCTAAAAAGTCTCTTAGGCACCCAAAATATGACCGAGGAAGAGCTGCCTCCTCAAAGTGGAGTAATGACATGGATGGCGTAAAGTTTTGGGGACCTTCCTTTCCTGATGAGGCACGACTCAAAATGAAATAGATTGGAATTGGCCATTTTGAACTAGGCAGTCATATATTCTCCTATACTGGGAATGACAAATTGAAAAGTAATGGTGTTACATTCACCATCAAAAAAGAACATTTCAGACTCTAACCTGAAATATGATGCTGTCAGTGATAGAATAATATCTATATGCCTACATGGGAGCTCTGGTTACATAATATCTAAAGCATTTGACTGCTAACCAGAAGGCTGGCAGTTCAAACCCACCAGCCACTCTTCAGAAGGAAGACTGGGCAATCAATCTACCTCCATAGTGACATTGCCTTGGAAACCCAAGGAGGGGTCACTATGAGTTGGATCTGACCTGACGGCAGTGAGTTTGGTTTTGGTTTTGGAAGACCAGTTAATATTACTATTATTCAAATTTATGCACCAACCATTAAAGCCAAAGACGAAGAAATTGAAGATTTTTATCAACTACTGCAATCTGAAATTGACCAAACATGCAATCAAGTGTATAGATAAATACTAATGAATGGAATGTGGAAGTTACAAAGAAGAAACATTGGTATGTGAAAAATATGGTCTTGGTGATAGAAATGACACTGGAGATTGCAAGACAGAATTTTGCAAGACCAATGACTTATTCATTGAAAATATCTTTTTTCAACATAAACAGTGACTACACATGTGGACCTCACCAGAAGGAATACAGAGGAATCAAATTGACCACATCTGTGGAAAGAGATGAAGGAGAAGCTCAATATCATCACTCAGAACAAGGCCAAGGGGCAAATGTGGAATAGATCATCAACTGCTCATATGCCAGCTCAAGTTGAAGCTCAAGAAAATTAAACAAGTCCATGAGAGCCAAAATATGAATTTGAGTATATCCCACTTCAATTTAGAGACCATCTCAAAAATAGATACCTTGCAATGAAATCTAATGACTGAAAAGCACACAAGTTTCGGGGTGACATCAAAGACACCACACATGAAGAATGCAAAAGGTCATTTAAAAGCCAAGTTTTAAAGAAAGAATAGACCAAAATAGATATCAGAAAAGAGACTCTGAAACTTGCTCTTAAATGTAGAGTAGCTAAAGTAAATAGAAGAGCTGAACAGAAGACTTCAAGGGTGGCTGGAGAAGACAAAGTATTATATTGCAATGTACAAAGACCTGGACCTAGAAAACCAAAAGAGAAGAACATGCTCAGCATTTCTCAAGCTGAAAGAACTGAAGAAAACTTTCAAGCCTTGAGATGTAATATCGAAGGACTCTATGGGCAAAATATTAAACAATGCAGGAAGCATCAAAAGTAGAAGGAATATAGTCACTGTACCAAAAAGAATGGTTCAACATTCTTGAAATGTTCAACCCTTTCAAGAAGTAGCATATGATTGAGAACTAATGGTATTAAAGGAAGGAGTCCAAGCTGTACTGAAGGAATTCATGGAAAACAAGGCTCCAGAAATTCACAATACCAGTTGAGATGCTTCAACAAATAGATGCCATGGTAGAAGTGTTCATTTATTTATGGTCAAAATTTGGAAGACAGTTACCTGGGCAACCTTCTAGAAGAGATCCATATTTATGCTCATTCCAAAGAAAGGGGATCCAACAAAAAGCAGAAATTATTGAATAACATCATTAGTATCACATGCTGAAAACTTGGAAGAAGATAATTAAAAAATGGTTGCAGCAGTATATAAACAGGGAATGGCCAGAAATTAGATTCAGAAGAGTACATGGAACGAGGGATATCATTGCTGATGTAAGATGGACCTTCGCTAACAGCTCAGAGTACCAGAAAATGTTTACCTATGTTTCACTGTGTGGATCATAACAAATTATGGATAATACTGTGAAGAATGGGAATTCCAGAACACATAATTGTGCTCATGAGGAACCTGTACATATCAGGAAGCAGGTGTTCATACAGAACAAGGGGATCCTGCATGGTTTAAAACCAGCAAAGGTGTTTGTAGAGTTGTATTCTTTCATCATTCTCATTTAATCTGTATTCTGAGTAAATAATCCAAGAAGCCAGACTATATGAAGAATGTGGAACTGGGACTGAAGGAAGATTCACTAATAACAGGTGATATGCCGCTGATACAACCTTGCTTGCTGAAAGCGAAGAGGATTTAAAGTACTCTTTAATGAAGATCAAAGACTACAACCCTCAATATGGATTATAAACATAATATGGATATTCAACATAAAGAAAACAGAAATCCTCACAGGTGGACCAATAAATAAGCAACATCATGATAAATGGAGAAAAGACTGAAATTGTCAAGGATTTAATTTTAGCTGGATCCATAATCAACATCTATGGAAGCAGCAGTTAAGAAGAAAAACTGATCTATTTGAATTATGGTGTTAGTGAAAAATATTGAAAATACCAAGGACTGGCAGAACAAACAAATCTGTCTCAAAATACGAGAATGCTCTTTAAAAGCGAGGACAACAACATTTTAGTATGTAGGCAGATAAACTTAACTTTATTATACTCACAATAGTGAATTCCTCTAGCATAGGAATGATGTCCTATTTGTTATTATAGCAACATCTATAATACCATAATGAAGATGCTTATCTATATTTATTAAATAGATAAATGTATAAACTGGCAATCAGTTCTGAGAAATTCTCAAACTTTCTATAATTTCAATGAGATAAAGACTAAGCTTACTAGTAGTAATAAGAGGATGGAAGGCCCAAAGCCTGAGATTTACATTTCTTAAATTATATTCAAAGTACTTTAAATGATTTTTGTGCCATTATTTCAATTCCTTTATAAAAACATATAGATATGTTCCATATAGAAACATCTTTGATCTGAGCAATTTTACTACACATAGGATTGATAACTGTAATAATGGAATTCAGCATATCGAAATACCTATTTTCTTAACCATGGCTGGCCAATCTAAATATATCAAATTTAGAAAAAAAGCCCTAAAGTAATGCTTTTTTCCATGAAAGAACCCTTGAAGAGACTGAAAAGTTTACTCTGAAGCAGACCTCTGCAAGCCTGACCTTTCTTTGAAGTCTTAAATTCAATTTCAAAAATGAACTCGACTTTTGCCTCTTACCTAACAATATATTTGTTTCAAGTGAAAGCAGCATGTTCTTTTATCCCAGAATTTTGAATAAAATTCACACTCAGGAAGATTTGCCATATGTAACATTCAGCTTTGGAAACAGAAGCCCATAAAAGAAAAGAATGTTAACAAAACAGGGCAAGAGACTATTTAGAATTTATCTAAATAAGCATTCTATTTTGTAACCCAGGTAGCCAGATACCACCTTAATGAAAGTAAAAAATAGAAAAGTCTATTACCCCTAGATTAAGAAAATAAAAATATAACTTGATGGGTTCTAGATTTCTTTACATTACTCTGTTGAATTTTCATGTAGTTTGTTTTGTTCTTATATAGCTTTGCTTATTCTGTTCAGATACTACCTTTCACCAACACAAAACCATCAATTTATGATCACTTGATCCATCAAAGAAGATAGCTTTAAAATTATTTTTAATTATGAACAATTCAATAAGAAATTATTACACCTAGGTAATAAATAGGAGTTCTGGTGGCATAGTGCCTAAGGCATCTGACTGCTAACCAGAAGGCTGGCGGTTCAAACCCACCTGCCACTCCTTGGAAGAAGATGAGGCAATCTACTTCCGTAGTGATACCACCTTGAAAACCCACGGAGGGGTCATTATGACTCAGATCTAACTTAACAGCAGGGAGCTTGGTTTTGGTTTTTTGGAGGTAATGAATAGATACTTTTAAAAGACTGTTACCTTTATCATTTATATATATATTTTAGACATTTTAGAGCATGTTCTCCTTGTTTCAGCACTACTGTTCCACTTCTGTTCAGAAATAGTGTAGCTAGAGCATAAACTTCTAATAAAAGTGTTTTAATTACTACTAATCCGGCTACAAGGAGCTCTGGTGATACAGTGGTTAAAGCATTTGAAAAAAAGTTTGGCAGTTCAAATGTACCAGTCGCTCCAGGGGAGAAAATTGTGGTAGTCTGTTTCCATAAACATTTATAGCCTTGGAAACTCAACAGGATATTTCTAATCTGTCCTATGCATTGCTACAAATCAGAACTGACTCCATGGCAGTAGGTAACGTGGCTGCATCAAGTTATTTCCATTTGATAGAAAACCAAGAAAAGAAGAATGTTATTATTTCATTCAAGGCTGTAAAACAAGGAAGAGTCTTACTCTGGAGTCACTGTCCAGCAGACATCGAGAAATGATGGTATCTAAGAAAACCTCATGTGCTGCAATAATGTGATCCAGATCTTGAGCTTGCTGTACTTTGTTCCAAAGTTCATCCCAAGAACACTCAAGCACCTAGAAGACAATTCAAAACCTTTGAATAAGTTCATGTTCATCCCAATATAAAACAAGACATTTAGGAAATAAGTAAGAAATGACTTATTTAAACTAAAATCAACAGGATGATTAAAATGTACCTCAAATGTAATGTAATACTGCATTTGATGAATGAAATGGACCATTTCAGAAGCCAGAATGTGACACTGATGCAGCACCCCAGAAAACTCTGTAAGAGAAGCCAAAGAATTTATGTTAAACATAAAATGAAAATATATTTTTAAACAAACACAATGTTATTCCTCTTATTTATCTGAAATTTATCTTTCAAAAAACTCACTTTAATTCTTGAATCCTTAAAACTGGAGACAACCTCTCCATAATCAATTTCTGTGCCAATCAAGTTAAACAAAGATTTAGCTGTCTAATCAAGTGGTATTATATTACTTTAAAATATAAGAACCTAATAAAGAATGGCATGAAACAACCATAATTGTATTTCAAAGTTAAAGACAAAAATTTTATTTTACAATAATGTAGTGTCTTGAATAAATATAAGATCTATTTTATTGTTTCTTTACAATTAGTCTACCTACTGAGGATGAAACACTTATTACTGTCCAGCTATTTGAGAGATAAAAATGACATTTCTTTAAGGAACTGAAATGTGACCTTATCACTGAGAGAAATATGAACCTTTGAAAGAGGTTAAGGGTGAGTTCAGACTCTGCTCTTATTCTTCATGAGATTATGAAACCATCAAAAGGTTTGAAGGTCACCACCAGACAGCAATTCTCTGCCAGTACTTTTAATTTTTTGTTCAAAGATGATACCAGAGTATTATGTTACACGAATGTATATGATGGTTCAAATCAAAGATAAGCTATCAGAGGAATGATTATAAGAAAATTTTAATACAGATCAGATTTAATGTATTTTTATTACCTCTTCAAATGCTTTTAATAAGCTACCTAAACAGAAATATAGATAGTGAGATATTTGTTGCTGCATGGAGTTATTCAAAAAAGCTGCCTTGTCACTTTGTGAGAGTAATGATTAAGTGAAATATATAAACTGGAATGTAACTACACTGGCAATATATAAAACCAAAAAACCAAACTCACTGCCATCAAGTTGGATCCAACTCATAGTGACCCCTCCTTGGGTTTCCGAGGCAGTATCACTACAGAAATAGATTGCCCAACCTTCCTTCTGAGGAGTGGCTGGTGGGTTTGAACCACCAGTCTTCTGGTTAGCAGTCAAATGCCTTAAGCACTACGCCACCAGAGCCCCTTGGCAATATATACTTTAAATAATATTCCTTTCTAAAAGTTAAGAATCAATGACATTGTAGTGATTTTGCTATTTTGGTTTAACAGGTATTATTTGGTTGTTGTTGTTGTTATGTGCCGTCAAGTCAGCCCTGACTCATAGCGACCCCTCCTTGGGTTTCCGAGGCAGTATCACTACAGAAGTAGGATTGCCCAACCTCCTTCCGAGGAGTGGCTGGTGGGTTTGAACCGCCAGCCTTCTGGTGAGCAGGCAAGTGTCTTAGCCACTATGCTACCAGAGCTACAGAAATAGAGATGGGGAGAGAGGTGAGGAAAGATGAGAGGGAGAGAGGCTATCAGAAGGGAAGAAAGCGAGAGAGGTGAGAGGAAGGAGGTGGGGGAAGATTATTGTAAGCCTTGTAAAAATCTACATTCTTAAACAGATGACCAAACACATATAAGCATAAAGATATACTTAAATTATATAAATACTGAACAAAAGTACAGATTATATTAACAAGTACTAAAATACTCTGATTTTGAGGAAATGTACAGTTTTATAGATATGAGCTATATATCTGGAAAATGATAAGGAGAAAAGAATGTAGAAAGAGGACATTATTCAGATTCCAAATATTTTATCTTCATCAAGGAGCTGGAATTCTACAAAGGGTCAGGAAAAGACAGTTATTCCAAGTATTTACCCAAAGAATCTTGAAGTACATGATGATAGAAAGGAAGTAGTGGCAATGCTATATATGAGCACGTTTCTTGTGAGAAATTTAAAGGTATGATTATTTTTCTTCTTCCTTACCAAAACTTAAATGAAACTTGTATAGTCAATTAAAAAAAAGATGCTAAAAAAATAAATTTCAAAACACAAAAAAAGCATTTTATTTCAAGGAGGTAACAGAGATTGATTGATTGATTGATTGATTGATTTATTGATTGATTGATTGATTGATACATAATGACTGAATCCATAATGTACACATTTGGGTTGAAATAATTTTTTAAAAGGAGTGATAATAACACACTGTTCCTCAGGTGAAAATACAAACAACTTGGCAATTAACAGCGTCATAAAGGTAAAAGGCCTAATAATGAACAGTGTCTAGAAGTAATTTTCCCCACATGCAAAAAGCCAGTCCTAAACAGGGCATCTAAACCAAAACATGCCTACATAGTAACATTGGGAGAGTAAGTTCATTCCAGGACCTCATAGTGTTTCATTTTCCAAATACTATCACCTATTTTTTAAAGACTTACTCAAAATTTACTTAAAAAGATCAAGAACTCCACCTGTTCCTTGTGAAGCAAAAGATCTCTAATACAGCAAATATCTACAACCAGAGATATAATCTTACCTATGTAACTATTAAAAAAAAAAAAAAAAAAAAAACAACTTCAACTGTCCTTCAGATCAATAGTGCATCTGCCTATTATTCTGCCTATTACCAAAGACTTTCCTCTAAGACAACCATCTCAAAATATCAGGCTTGTGTCCCAAGCATAGCTAACTTCTTTTATATTGTTATACATCTATAACTCACTTAAATACTCAACCAAAAACAACTCTCACATTTCATTTGTAAACCTAGACTGAAGAATGTACTTCTCCCTACTGGAAACTATAAAAGGGGGCTAGATTCTTAGTTTAATCCTCAAAGTTTATTTAACTAAAATGAATACTGTATTTTTCAAATGTAAAACAGTATAACAAGATGCTGTTTTAAGTGATATCCAGCTATATTACACTTTCAGCTTCTAAGAGAAATAGCTACCATTTATAACTATATTTTAGGTTCACCCAGAGCTTGAATACAGGACCGTATCTCCCCCTCCCCTAGCAAAGCCCCTGCAGTAACAAGGGGGGAGGGGCGTAGGCTACCCTCTTCAATCAATGGCCGATGATGAGTATTCTAAAGTTAGATAGTCTTACCTATACAACTGTCTAGAGTAGATTTAAAGCTTTCAACATGGGTATAGGAGTGTACACATATTGGTTCTCAAGATCTTTCTGGAACGTAACTTGACTTCTCTGTAGTGTGGCAAACAGTTATACGAAATAGTTTAGATACCATTTATGGAAGATTTTTTTTTTTTTTTTAATGCCCTTAATTTTATCATAGATTTCTGGTGGGCTTTTTTATTGGGAAACAAATTTATTGTCTTTACAAGTTATATATAATGATATTCAGATCTCACAATGATATCCAATGTCTCCGAATCTATCATTCTCTACAAACATGTTACATATTTTCCTGAAATAATACTGTTTTACTCTTATTCGTAGTGAATGTCACCTATTTTGCACTGGAGAGACATCTACATCATTTATACTTATCAAGGTTGGCATTTTTCTATCAGAGAAAGTTTAACATCACTGTGGGTTCATCATATACTCCTTCTGGTAGATGACATAAACAATGTTCAGTAGGCACTATTTCTGGGCGAATGTGTATTTGTTAGAGAAGGACAACAGGAACATTTTTATACCTACTACTCTCCAGTTTTTAGCTCCAAGTCAATCTTCTATACATAATAAAAGAAATTATACAATTCCATGAACATTCAAGTTTTTATTGTTCTTGTTATTCTATGTTACTTGAAGTCTTTGGAGTTTTTCTCATGGAGTCATATTCACAATCAGTTCAACAGCATTTGGATAAAGGGTTGTTTTTTAATAGATTGTCATACATTTTTTGCTAACCTTTTTACATTTTATTTTTGAGATCCCTCATAAATCAGGATTTTCTTTATCTTTGGTGTTAAGACATTTTGAAAATACATACATGGTGATTAAATCATGAATTCTGTTTTACAATTCTATTTTCTTAAGTACACAACTTCACCACTACTGACTAATTTTCTAGATTCATTAATATCACCCACATTTGGAAATGAAAATACAAGTGAATGGCCACAAAACAAAAAACATTTATTTAAAAAATCATCATTGTGCAATCTTGTGTATCAACCAAAAAATGAATGGGATTCAACCTGTTAGTCTTCAATGCTGTCTAGCAATCCTTTTTCTCTCCCTTATTATGAAACTGCTGTTTTCAGCCTACTCTAAAACCCTTGATCCCACGACCATCTTCTCTCACATTTTCAGAAGGTGACCGACCACCTTCCTTACATGTCATGAAGTCAAAAAGCTATCAGGTGGGAACTACTTCATCCATCATCTTGTCATCAAACCTATAAACTTAATAGCATGCCCCTCTAAGGCTAAGCCCCCATTTATATGTTCTGAAAGCCTTCTCTTCCTTTCTACCTTTCTCCAATGACTTTTCAACTACTACTTCCTTCTTCCCACCAGCTTTTAAAATTAGTGTTTAAACAAATTCTCCAGCTATTGCCCTCATTCTTTCTGCTTCACAGCATATGTCACTGCCAGTAAGAGTAGTTAATACTCATTGTCTTCATTTATTTACATTCCCTTTCATAACTCACTGGAAAGTATATAACTATCTTTGTTATAAAATCCTAAACAGCTTTTATTTCTTACCAAATTTGATATCTTGACAATTTTTGCCAAATTTGATCTTTCCCTCCTCCTTGATATACTTTTTTCCTTAGCTTCAGACAAACTATACTCTCCCACTACTCTGTCCACCTTTCTAGTTGTTTCTCCTCATCTTCATCTCCTTTATGAAGTCCTCTTCCACTTTCCTTTGCTCCCATATCTTTTTCTTTTCTGACTTTATTTTTGGGTGACCTCGTTCAATCCCATGGCTTCAAGTTTCATCTAAGCTAAGACATCTAAAATCTTTTTGTCCAGATCTGTCTTAGCTTCAGATCAATCTAACCACCTCACATGTATCTTAAATGTCTCATCCAAACTTGCCCCTTCTTCCAGTGTTTCCCATTGTAGTAAATGACATCATCATCCACCAAGTTTCTCAAGTCAAAGACCCAGATTTCAATCTTGGCTCTACTTCCTCATCTCTCT